GTCAGGAGGAATGGACAGGAGCTTAGGCAGGTACCTGTCTTCTGTCACTGCTCTCCTCACTGTTCCTGAAAAGTTGGTAGATTCGATTTGATAGATAAATAAGGATGTAAATGAGATTATTTTAAATGAAAAGTGAAGACATACTGGTACTTATGTCAGATAAAGATAAGACAAAAGTGATTTACAAGTGTTCATGCTGGATTTTTATGCATAGGGCTAAGGTAGATTTTAAGAAATTGGATGTTGGTTGTTGTGGGCCAATTTCAGAGGATTCTGTTTAGTTTAAATGTGTTGAACTTCATATATATTATAGGTTAGCTAAGTGTCTGAGTAAGTCCTGGGTTGGGAGATAAGATTTGGGATCCATAAGCAGACAAGACATCCTTGTAACAAAAGTGAGCAAAGTTCAGGAGGAGAACCAGAAAAAGAAAAAATGATCAATAGCTTCATCCATAGGAAAAAATAAGAGCTAGCAAAGGATATTGAATGAAGTTGCCCCAAAGACTGGGGTTACTCTTGCGTCTTCTCCCTGCCATGTAGAAATCTCAGGATGGCTGGGCAGACAGCTCCTACCCCATTACAAAATACTGCATCATCGTGAGCAAGATTGGTCTTTGTCTTCTCATTTCTAATATTAGGAACTTGGTCTACAAAGTGCTGTGAACATTTCAGTTGCCTGCAGAAACATTTCTTCAAAGGCAATCTCTTTATGAACGAACGTCATGTCGGATATGAGGAGCTCTTGTCTGGGAGGGTTTGGATAGGGAAGGGAGAGGGGTGGGGTGTCTAGAATTGGGCATGGTTGGCTCCACTTCCCCCTCTGCCTCATTCTTCAAGATTCTTCAAGGGAGAATCTCAGAATCTTCACAAGGCAGAGTTTGACAGTTACTAGCCCTGCTGAACTTCATGCCCCTTCAAGATCAAGAATCCTATGAAACTAATATGAATAATGCCTCACCCGGGTGTGCTACTTTAGAATGTAGAAGATGCTTCCATAAGCATGGTCTTTTTTATCCTCATCGTCTTTGACCCTGTGAAGTAGCTGAGGCAAATATCTTCTCCATTTGATAAAGAATTCTAGCCTCAGTACAGATTGGGTGAGTTGCCTGATTCTTGTTGCTACTCAATGTCAGAGGAGGACAGGGACTTCGTGGTGCCTTGTTCCTGCCATGCTTTCTCTTTCACGCTATCCTTCTGTGAGCCTCTGCCACGGTGGTGGCCTGTTCTGACCAGAAGGATGAAATTCCAGGCTTGTCCAGCTCCTGTTCCTGTTCTCACGGTGGTCTAAGCTGAATTAGTTTGTGTGTAGTGATGCAGAAAGCCCAGGCTGGCCCAGCTCCTTGAAGGGCTTCCTGCCTTCCCAGGCCCCATCAGGTGAGGCATGGCCTGATGGGGCCTTTTTTGCTGATGCCTAAGACTATTTCTGTGGTAAAGAAAGAGGCTCAAAAGGAAGGAACTACTGACACATGCTACATCTTGGATAAACCTCAGCGATGGTAGGCTAAGTGGAAGAAGCCAGGCACAAGAGACCATATATTGTATAATTCTATTTATATGAAAGATACTCAAAAGACAAATTTATAGAGACAGAAAGTAGATTTGTGGTCGACTGAAGTTGGGGCTGGTTCCGGGGAGTTGCTGTAAGTGGCATGTGGGATCTCATTGGAGGGGTAAAAATGTCTTGCAACTCAGTGGTGATTGCATTACTCAGTGAAGTTACTAAATTATGTATTGAATTGTATGCATGAAATGGGTGGATTTTATGACATGTAAAAATATACTTCAATAAAAATATTTCTCAATATTTTGATATGTAAATATATTTTTGTTGTTTTTGTTGTTAAAACAAAGAATGAGTCTCAAATCAGATATAGGAACTTCCAAGTTTTATATCGTGCCTTGGTCATAAGCAAGTTGAGGAATCTTGGCTCTGGGAGAGTTGTCAGAATTCCAGAGGGGCACTAACTTCAGATTAGATTCTGGAATCCGTTTGTAAAATACAATTGTTTATGAATTTGCATTTTCACAAGAACTTCAGTAACCATCTTCTGTAGTGTTCTATCTTGTGTTCAAGAGAGAAAAATTCGAACCAGAGCAGTTAGGAGGACTCTCACTGGTTGTGTGATGTCATGGACTCCAAGGGAGCTCTCTTTCTCCTTCTCCTACCTCTCAGTTTTTCTTTTTTACCCTCTTCACTTTACTTTTTTACACTAGTAATACATAGTCACTCTAGAAGAGTAAGAAAAAGTTGTTTGAGATTGCATCCCAACATATTGCCTAATTGCTTCCCAAAATCTACCGGTGCAGTGCAGGATTGCAGTGATGTGGGTTTTCATTAAATGTGAATCCAAAATGTGATCTGGCTGCTGGAATTTACTGCAGTTATGGGCTTTGTCATTGGATATATCCTGTGCAGGACGAGGGAGATGGTGTTACCACTGCACCCAGAGGTATGCAGAGAGTACCTGGGGTATTGATTCTAATCCTGGGCACCAGGCATTGAATGAGACTGGCTACCTGACTTTGTGCTGAGGCACTGGCCAAGGCAGGACAGTGTGTCCCATGAGACGTAGTTGCTTATGAGAAGTCTGGAAAGCCTATGATTAACTTTCTACAAGTATTTGAAGAGCTGTCATGTCAAAAGAAATTAGATTCGCTTTGTATGGTTGTAGAGGCAGAGTAAGCAACGATGGTTAGGTATTCCTGGAAGGCAGGGTTCTGTTTAATGTAAGCAAGCCCTTTCTATTAATAACAGAGCAGTCTGAGGATGGATTGGGTTCCCCCAAGAAATAGTGACTACTCTTCTCTCTACATCCCTGGAGATATTCCAACAGGTGAACAAATGTCATTTGGATGAAGAGGTGTAGCATGCCCATGGAGGGAATTCATCATAAGGGTTTGATTTGGAGACCTCTGGGAAAATGACTATGAGGCCGTGAACTTGAAATCACAGCTCTGATTCTGACAGTCTTCCACAAAGCCTGATGAAAATATTCTTTCTGCAAACACCATTCATTCTCTTGTTTCTTAGAGAAAGGAGGTAACCATTGAACCTTCTAATATCACATTTTATGCACTCAGCTCCTTGGAGAATGAGAGTTTAGGTCTTGGATGGTCTTTGACATTCAGTTAAGTTACTGGAGTAGTTGTGTGAGGCTATGGCTTTTCTCATTTATTTTTCATTTTTCTTGTATTTTTATGCTGTTTGCCAACCGTGGGTCTTTCAGACCTTAATATTCTCAAATCTGGTAAAAGATAAAGGGTTTATTTGCACATACTTGTCATCTCTCTGTAGCCTTTTCATCTTTTTCTAATTTGAATATTGCTTCCAACGTTTAAAAAACTGAACCACACTTCCAATGTTTCTGAATTTCGCCTGTGTTAAAAAGTTGTAACTTTTCCATTAAAGAAATAACAAGCACTTTAATTGTGCCTTTACTATTTTTTAACATGTATTTTCTTTGTTTTGGTGTTGATACTTTGAGAAGTTAAAAAAAAGCTTGACAGGCCACAAAATTCATGAGAATATGTGGGAAGATTACTCATCTGATTTTAATGTTCCTCAAGCACAACTGATTAAAAAATAGCCTAACCTCTTGCCCTTCAAAGCTTGGTCTGGCTGAATCAGAATGTGCATTTGAACAAGCTGCACTTCCTCCCAGGTGGCGTGCCACCAAACCTGTGGGGAACAGTCATTATCTCACCTTTTGTTTGTATGTTTGTTTTGTTCTTGAGCACCTGTTAAAAAGTACCTGGCATTGTGACCAGGTTCTTTCACAGACATGAGCCCATTTAATCCACCAGGACAGCCCTCTATAGGAGGTGTCATTAGAGGCTCAGAAAAGTTGTCACCGGGCCTGCCAAAGGTGTCACTAAATGACACTTTCTGGAGTCTGTATGTCCTAAACCTGAGACAGGAAAATTGAGGCCCAGCTCTGACTTGCGCAGCCTGGCCAAGCCCAGCGCCTCAGGAGGACTGCAGAGACAACATTTGCCCCGCCAGTGGGAGGCAGCCCAGTGCTCAGCCTCTGCCCCTCGATGGTTGAGTCGAGGCTTGGTATGAAGGGCCCTGGGAGGAAGTCATGTCTCACAAACACTGGGAAGAGCACCTAGAAGGCTCCACTTCTCATCTGGAGCTGGACTTCCTGAAGCATCAATTAGAAAAGAAGTTCAGAGGCCCAGACAGACACACTGCTCAGAGGATGCCTGCATCGAAATAGGCTGTGTGTGAGATACTTGTTAGGAACCAGTTCTGATCTTCTGTTTCTGAAGCCTTTGTGATATGCCGTTTTCTTGGATTCTATTTGACAGGGGAAATAAAATCGATGATAAGAAGTGGACTTTCGTTACTAATATTTCTGTTTTCCTGCCTACATTCCTCTTGTCTTCCTAGATGCTTAAGAATAAGCCTGTGTTTGTCACACTTGGTGCACTTCTGAAAAATAATGACTTTTACTCCAGAAGTAAACTCACAACTTGGAAATGTCAGGATTCTAAGTTTTCCCAAAAATGTGAGGTTCCTTTCCATCCTGTGGGGGGAAAAATACAGAGATTACAATTATATACCACTTAGCAAAATGAATTTTGATAACTAAAGCAAAATTAGCGAAATAATTAGGATTAATTTATGCAATTTGCAATTGTTCATCTACCTACTCAGCACTTAGATTGAAGTCCAAGATGAGATCTAAAAAGGAGGAAACATTCTAGAACCCACCAAACCTTCTCTAAACTCTCACAAGGTTTTTTTCACTTATTCTTTTAAAAGTCTGGGCCTTATTTAACTCTGGTTGCTCGCTGCCACTTGATGGTATTTTGGTTTCTCTTTAGGTATCATCTGATTTTCTTTTTCTTTACCACTGACAATCAGCTTATTTCATATAAATGCATAATATATTAAATACATATGCATTTAATATATTGTTGATTTGTTCATGAATTGTTTCTCTTAAAGGATCCATCTGGGGAAATGAGTAATTTTTCATATCCTGTTCTTACAGGAAGAATTTTAAATCGTTTCTCCAAAGACATTGGACATTTGGACGATTTGCTGCCCACGACAGTTCTAGATTTCATCCAGGTAATGTAACAGTAACGTCAAGTTCTCACACATGGACAACTGAAGTTCTGTTTTTTCGTGGCCTTTTCATGGGGATTGGGAGTGGGGCTCTCAGCTTGGCAATGTGTAATGTTAACTTAATAAAAGGCCATGTTTGTAAAAGAAAGGTGTGGTTGTGATTCGGAGGCTCAGTTAGCATGAGTAATAGCTCGTGTGTGGGAGTGGCCACACGGTCATGTCAGGGTTGATTCGCGGTGGCTACATGCTAGGTAGATGGCTCTCCCTCTGCCTCCCAGGTATCTGGCATGGATTTTGCTTTACTGTGAACAGATTTCATAATACAGAAACAATCACCTCTCACGAAAAGATAGCCTAGATTAACTAAATTATGCATTGTATTACCACAAAGAGCAAATATTTACTTCACCTTTTTTTTTTCTGGATAAAACTAGGTGTGGTTGCTTACAAAGAAAAGATTAGTAATAATAAGGTGAAAATAATACTTTGTTAACAAGGACAATAGAGGGCAGTTATTGCAGAAACAAAGCCTTTCAAGGCAAGGATGTTTAAGCCAATTTGAGTACAAGATCAAAGTCATTTCAGAAAATGTCTTTTTCCTTTCTCCTCAGCAGCTTTTCTTTTCACACGTTGATTGCTCAAAGTCTTAAGCTGTCTTTTAAAAAAATAAAACCCAACAATCCTACAGAAATACTTTTTATAAAGCATTTGTTTGGTCTGTGAACTTGAGGTTCTAAAGAATAATGTTGGGTCATCTCATCTCTCATCTCTTCATTCAGTATTGTTGCTCATGTGGGTTTTTTTGTTTGTTTTTCTTTCTTTCCTTTTTTTTCCCCCCTGTTGTTTAATTCTATCTATATTTCAGTGATTCAGGCCAGGAAAGTTTCTTTTTTTCTGAATGTTTATTTTGGAAATGAAATGCATCTATCAAAAGCTACACATATTCTAAAATCCCAGCAGCTGTTACTAACACTTCATGAGTTTGAATCTTTTTCACTTTCCTTGAGTCCTAGTTTACAGTAGATCCAGTCATGAGCTGACTTTAAGGCCAAGAAGTAGAAATGCTAACATTGGGGTCTACAATCATGGCTCCATGCTGATGTTCCCCTGACCCCGAACCTCCACCTTTTTATTTTTTTCCAATGCTCAAATGCTCTTCATGTCAAAGCTTCAGATCTCCTCTGGAGCCCCTGTTATAAAAGGAGCCACAATTACTTAATTTGGAAAATTAGCTATGTCAGAAAAATCAGTTGTAGGCTTGAAATGATTACGGGAATTCCTGTTAGTCGCACAGAGAGGCAGCAATGAATATATGACTGCAAACAACATAGCCCATGGGAGAAGGCATTTGCTGAAGGAAGCTCAGACTCACAGGCAGGGTATTTTTACTGCAAATATGGACCTCTGATTTTTTTTTTTTTTCCCTGCTGCAAACTTATTTCAAAAATGTGTCCTGCCGAATTTAGCTATATTATTTATCCCCCAGAAGCAGTCTTTCACTAAGAGAGTTTCATGGTTTTCATAGAATGCAGATGACTGTAAACACACGTTTTGACAGCGATTGTTAATTACTTTGAGAAGATTTTGTGGAAAGTTCTTTTTCTTTGCAACTGCAAGCGGCTGGCCCACTGTGTGCTTAGCAGAGTGAGCCATCATAATTAGAATCCCTCATGTGTTTTTGTGTCACATATGGAGGGACAGGGATGGATGCTACTTGATTTCAATATAAAACATTGTCAGCAGCAGGAGAGAAAATTCTAGTCTTGTACTTCTATTTAACCAGAGAGACAAGGGTCTTTTTTATTACCCACTCACATAATCTTGGTAAATTTGCCATTCTTGAATACGACTGGTCCCAGTCAGCTGATTTCCTGAATCTACAGCAAAGGTAAATCTTAATGTTATTGTCTCCCAGAAAGGAGGTTTTCATATAAAGGATAACTCAGTTATCAATTATGATAAAGATCTATTGTCACTTGTTTTGTTTGCAGGTGTCTTTAATAAAGCTTCCCATAATCCCTTCAGGAAGAAATATTTTCTCCTTTTAAAAATAGTATTAGCTAAATATAAAAGCTCTGATCCCTGCCATTGTTGTTCATTCTTTGAGGGACATTTCCCAACATTCATTGTTTAAATGGTTGTCAGGAGGAATCAAGTGAAACTTAATAAACAATGCAGTAACTGGTTCATCTTACTTTGTGTGCAGAGCCTTTCTCCAGAGGATTTGCATTCGATGAGTGGGCTTTTGACTGAGGTATCGCCAAGATCATTTTGAAGTATTTGGGCCTGTTGCTATATTATAATAGCAAGTGAAGATTTTTATTAAAGCCACAAAAATGAATTTAACCTGCCCTCAAATAAAGGGCAACAAAATATCTAAATGTAAATTGATTTTTTTTTTTTTTTAAGTTGCATAGGACTCTGTAAGTATGAAAACAACCCAGTGGTGTTCTGGGACTCTTAATGGAATCATGTAAACTTAAAATAAACACTATTATGGTAAGCACATAGAATGAAAACTAATTTTCCAAATCAAATACATTATATTCAATTCATTTTCCCCAATCAACCAAATGTTTAAAACCTGTTAGTTATAACAGCAATCTTCTGGAAATTAATTAGAAGCCTATTAGCTCTGCTAGCTGAGCCGAGTGAAGGGGTTGCTTAGTACATTTCTAAGCAGTCTCCTGAGCTAAAGCAAAGCAAGGTCAAAATGACAATCAGCTTGGCTCACAGCTTTGCTTAAGTAGTTGATCGTTCTTTTTGGGAGGGAGGAGAGTTGTTTTTCAAAGGAAATTTTATCTCCTTTGATTCAATCATCTAACATTTACAAAATTTGAGTACCAGTCAGGTAAACCATACAGGTATAGCATGAATGTGTGAATAATAGCGCCTTCTCAGTTGCGTGGGCATCTAAAATGGGGTTGAATTTTAGGCCTCTTGCCTAGCTCATCTGGTCATCTAAAGGGTTTTATTAGCCCCCTTTCAAAATTGGGATAGTAGAAAATTTCCTGCCTGCCTTTGTTTTGAATGTCATTAGTAAATCCTGCTATTGACATCTGGGCACGGTGGGTTTTAATTCTTATCAGATCCTGTGGGTAATAATCAGTATGACTTCCAAGTCCTCCTAGGCACAGGGAATCTCACAGAAAGTGAGGCCTTCTAGACCCAACAGCTGAGGTTAGCTGAAGCAACTGAGTTTTAAAAGGACTGGGAATTTCCCTGTTAAGAAGTTTTCCTTGGTGTTAACTAGCAGGAGATGTAGCTCTTCCTGACTTGTGGGGAAACTACATAACATCTATAGAGGGTGCGAATAGAGCCAGAAGGAATTTGACAGGATGTATAGTCACAAATACAGGGTGTCTAAAAGTCACATAGGGAAAATACATACATAGGGAAAATAGGAAATTGTAGCTAAGTGTACCTTTATTTACAAAATATTCATTACAAAATTTTACAGAATTTTTCCTTTGCTTGGAGACTTTTGGGACACCCCGTAGAATCAAAATCCAAAGAAAGCTTAGATATCTTTATGAAGAGTTAAACTTTCCGCTTGGAATGTTCAGACTAAGACTGCTACGTTAATGTTTTTTTCTTGCTGAAGATATGCATATGCTCATGCTTTTCTGGAGTATTAAAAATCAAATAGCTATAGAAATAAAGAATGTAATTACACTTATCCATGTGAACTTTTTAATCCAGCACATGCATGTTTGATTGCCCTTTCTGTGGAATAATGATAGTTTCATCGGTTTTGTAAATAAGAGATCAGAACTGTGGACCATTGGGTTACAACTGAATTGTGTTTCCAGTACAGTCTGCTGGGGAGCACTGGAGGGGAGAGACCCTACAGCAGACACCTCTCTACCACCCTACCCCCATTTGTGGCATGATGCCTGGAGTGTAGGCTCTGCAGAAGCCAGTCAGAAATCAGGGACAGATTTTAGTGTTCTACGGATGAAATGGCTGAGATAAGGAAATTTGCTTAAAATGTAAGCAGATTTGCTGGTCAGACAGAGGTTATTTTTACCTAATTTGACTCTCGGACTTCAACAGAAGATTTATATTTGTGTGAGCATTTGTGGGTTTTTGCTTGCCTGTTTTTATATACCAGTATCCATACTAATGGGAAACAGTGACACAGCTAGTTTTGAGAGTGGGTGTCATTTACCGCTGTCCTGTGGGGACATGGAGGGTGGTGAGGGTAACGTGTCTGTGGGGCATTGGAGCCCCAATTGGCTCAGGCGTGGAACAGTGTTGAATAAAGAAAGGTGAGTTTTTGACTGACCATGCTATTTGGAAGCATAGGCTAGAATTGAGTGAAGTTTTTGAATGTATGATAAGATAATAAATATATCATTGGAAATAAATACTTTATAGAATACAAAATAATAGTCTGTGGATTACCTCAGGGTTGCCATGGGCTTATCAGATAAGTTAGCCAAGGCTGGCAGTGCACATCTGGGTTATAAAGTGTTCAAACACATTTTGTTTGTTTACATTTTCAAAAATCATAACAGCTTTGAGTATCAGCAGTATTTCTAAAACCAAATCAATAGAATGGATTAAAATGAAATATCTCTGTGTAAAGAAGAATTGAAATACATCGGTGATATTCATCTTGACTTTGTGTCCTTTGAATAGGAATTTGGCATTCAAATCGTAATGTATTTGGGTAACCAACAAACAAAAACAGAGGTGATAATTAAAATTCACATTATTAAGTGTCTGATGACTCATATCAGCATAAATACCAGCAGCACAAATCTAGTCTTCCATTTTCCTAAAACAATGATTGGATTAGGTAATTGATACTGTATATACATAATATTTTGACAGCATTTTTAATCAAACATTTAATCGTATTAAATTAATTGTATGATCAGAGTTAGATTTTAACACTAATTTTTTTGGTTTTTTTTTTTTCATATTTCTTTCTACTTTTTTTTCTTGTTCTGAGAGCCTGCGTTTCTATTAACACTAATTTTAATAATATATTTGTA